TATAACATGTGATAAAACTTTCAGAAACACGGTGATAAACTTTACCTCACATAACTAGTGATCAAACTGTGAATATGGAAAGATGATTTTTTTTTTTAAATCAATTAGAATATACCATTCATAACTCAATACTGCCCTTCAAATCAGAACGTTACATTTTTATCTGACTGTGATGATAAATTGGTCGCATTCTGTCGAATCGCTAGTTATGATTCATTTCTACTGAAAAGTTAACTGCGCTGAAATAACAAGGTCAAGAAATGAAAACTTTCAGATACTTCAGCGAAATAAATGAGAGTGAGTTATGAAAGTGATCATAAAACCACTTGCGATTGTGTGAGGAGGAATGCGGACCATACAGAAGAGCATGTTTTTATCCACTGTAAAAATCAGTGAGTTATAGATAAATAAGCAAAGATCGCAGATTAACAGGGACTGTAATTACGTACTGCCGACATCACAAAAACATAATTTGTTTGCTACTGATAGAAATATTTATTTTTAGTGATAAAATGTTCATTCATGAATGTTTTTTTAGTGGTGAAATGTTGTGGATAATCAAAATATTTCCATTGCTGATAAAGATGAACATGATTTCTACTAGTAATTTCTGATCTTCTTGTTTACACCGTCAACTTTCTTCTCATTTAGAGTTTGTTCATTTTTTTGATTCACATTTTCATATTTACATTAATGTATTGCTTTCTTTATTACCGTGCTCAGACAGAACATCTGAAATAGTGCAACGTAAGTGAGAATATGAACACGAAAACATCATTGAGAAAAACCAACAAAGTGCAGTTGCGAAAAAGCTATTTAGTGTAAACGAGAGCATTAGAAACGAGTGATAAAAACTTTATTTATCTATGTAAACGGAAATAAATATTTCATTCAAACATAATAGGTTTTAACACTAGAAAAAACATACTATCAATAATCATTCTACGCTGCAGTACCTTTCTTCTTCACTTCAGATTTATCACTGATTCGCTCTTTTGCTACCTGTCCTGACAATCTTCACCCTGTTCATTTCATCGTTCATTGCAATGGAAGTGGTGTTTGCAAAACGATTTGCTGCAGTATCGCACAATTTTTAAGATTTATGATGTTCACAACTTGCATAATACTAAGATAACATAGTTTACCTCAATTGTATCAACAAATAACCAGTCTCAAAGGAATAAAAGCAAATTTTTTGCCATGAATTTCGGAGTTCAGCAATTTACAATCAATCATCGAATCGTAAATCTTGGTATAATAAGGATAAAAAATAGCTGTGCGTATCGCTGAATAGATTTTGAAACGCTGTAAAAATTTATGAAACTGTTTATCGACAAGCCTGCTTATCGGCGCGGTTGAGACTACCGAAATCTGCTCCGAAAATCGGCATTTCCGTGATTTCTAAACGGAAATCCATTTTTTACTGAAACACAACCTACACAGAAGAAGTATAGCTTTACTGGGATCATTTAATGTGCTCATCATAATCAACTGAATTTTATCGCAATTTCTGAATGCACTTCAAGAAGCAAGACCACATGAATTTTCCCGTCGTGCTGAACTAAGAATACTGAATAAGCACGTCATGTTCAACTGGATGCACTTATCAATCATTTCAAACTACTCAAGAAAAGGTATGTTTCTCAAAATGAACACGTAATAGAAAGCCATGGAATTTGAGTTTGAACACCATAAATGCAACAAGTTTTCCCTTGAATGGCAACTGATTACCTGACCATAACGGTCAGTCTATCCATCCTTTGCGACCTCATAGTATCTCTGTAAAGTGAAGCTTCGCATACCCGGTCGTTAGGTGTCGGAACGATCAAATACCTTTAAAGCTAAATATTCTGTGTACCATGCATATAGGCAGCTACTACATCGTAACTTTCTTCAGCTGCAAACAGTTCCAAAACGATATTTCCGTCATTCAAATAATGAGAACCTTAAATGTCACTGGCATTTGTCAGCGTTTATAAAGTTAGCCAGTGTGTTCCTGAGGACGTTGATCTAATGTTAGTTGAATGCACAATATCAGCTGCATGGAATTCAGTTTCACAATTGCATGAAAGTTTCTTTGAACAACTTTCGTGAAAGCTACTTTGAACTTAGTGCAGTCCATTTAGCGATTAATGCCACGCTGAAAACATTGAGTGATGTGCGCAGCCTTTGAATGTGGTATTTTTAGACGAAACTTGTGTGGGATTTTTCTTAAGCAACGTAAATCATTCGTTGTCGATGCATGTAAAATCTGTGATGCTGTATCCTCATTATGCCCATACTTAACATTACCGAATTACCACTGTTTTTGGCTTTCCAAATCGTCTTTAGTATTTTTATGCAGGGAAGGGAACGCGGACGATCTTCAAAACAACTGAAAAAAGCTTGAGAACCGCTGAACTAGGCTATGATGACCGTTGAATGTCGCTTTCATTCGAATGGTTGGTTGGGAAAATTATTTTTAGTTATAGTTTAGTAATTTCCTTCATCCGGGAATTTCGTTATTCAGACGATCCCCAAAAAGGAGTTGCTCGGATATGCAAGGATTTACTGTATATTATGAGGTTATTTAGTATCTCAAACAGCATATAAGAAGTACATGCATTCTTGATAACAAATCCACCATTCTTAGGAAATAGCCTTACGTGCAAATCTCGTAATAGTTGCTCAAATTGATAAATAGGTTTTGCAGAATCCACTAAATCAGCTGGAACAAGCGTTATCCGTCCATAATGCATATACAAACACATGTACTTTTCTCATAGCAAAGAACCTGAGCATAGAGGTAGTACTCCTGATTCTTGTATTGGTGCATTATTAATCGATTCAGTTTAGAGTTATAATGAATTTGCTCAGCTATATTGCATCCCGTTAAAAGCTAAGCCGTATCTCAAGAACTGGGCATTGCCTTCCGACAACACCTACACCGATTAGATAACAGAGAATATGCTGAATTCTTTGATGCATTGAAATCACAAGATTTTTGAGTGAGCAAGCAGGTCACTTGAAAATTGCGTCCTTAATTTTTCCAGGTAATGGTTATTGATCAACAGTTCTATGAAATGCCATTAGGAATCTAGCAATACCTCAAACACTAGGCAAAATCCATTGAAAAATATATTGTAGGATTGGTGAGCAAACCTCATCAGACAGCTGGTTTGAAAGTAGTCCTCATTGAATGCGTCAAGAAATCTGTTCTGCGTGTACGTTTCTGTGACTGATTCAAATCCATCATCAAAACGTGCGAGCAATGGCTCAATGAAATGTGAATTGTTGTTTATAACAATTCCAATTTATCCGCTTTCCTCTAGAAGAGAATGAAGCACTTCACTGCGATGAAAAACAGATTCGTGCAAAACAAAATCTATCGTTTCATTGATAAAAACATTGGTGCTTTGTGTCTTCAGATTGATTGTTTCTTGTTCATGTTGATAAGCTCTTTTCCTGTTTATCGTTTGTTTTATTTGCACGTGCAATATTACATGGATAAGAGATAATAGGTTATGCAGAAGTTGGATAATGTGATAACTAACATATTTGAGGTTTGAAGGTGAATAGAGAAATGATGAAAGAGGAGAGAGGTTGAGAGGGAGGTGAGGAGGAAAGAAGGGAGCGAAGACGGAGGCATGGATAAACAAAGTCAACAATCATGGTTGGTTTGATGAAGAAGAAGGCAATGAATCATGACGTTGCTCGTGCTCCTAGTGCAGTAGCAGCAGCAGCAGCAGCAGCATCTGAATATGCATTCGGGCGATCGATAATTCATTTGCGAATATGCATTACTCATCTCACACACATCCATTCATCAATCCGTCCGTCCATCCAGCCACCCACCTATCCATCCAGCCGTTCTCTTGCAAACCTCCCATCTGCAATCAGTGCCATCCTTGAATCAACCCTCAACTCAACAGCTATCAACAAACTTCTTTTCATCCCTTCACATTTTCACTTCTTCCTGCAATTTCTTTACTGTGACTTTTCATTTCTATTATCACTTCCCAAGTCATTTTCGTTATCAGTAAACACCAATCGCATTCTAGTCCATCGCTTTCCACCATAACATTATTAGTCATTTTCCTTATTAGTAAACACCGATTGCGTCAATCAAAATTTCTTCATCCCAGCAGCATGATGAATGAAAAAAGTCATACTCAAAGCAAATGCGTGTGCATATTCATAATGAATCTTCTCAGCATAATGCGGCGTGCATGTGATGTGCTTGCCATCGAAGAGCACTGATGCATGTGCATCGCGTTGTAGTCTATCGCTGTGTTAATGCCAACCACTATACATGTGTTGATAACGAGTATTCACGTTTACTCTCTTCTGTATGTTTATTCGTTGCTTTACTTATTCACAGAAATACTGACTTTTCCACTATAACATCATTCAATTTCATCGAAATTCACATTTAGCAAATGAGTTTGTCGCATTCATAGTATGTTGATGGCAATTGGTATGTTAAACGGTTGGTATCATCTTTGATGAACTCGCATTTTGTGTGCATTTGATGATTAACGGTAATACCTTTTCCAATAGAAGGTCATAGTGCAGGCAATATGTAAATTAATGAATATCTTATAAACGAAAACGTTCTATTGATGTATCAGTTATGAAATACACTCAAGCCTGTCATAATCATTTGAAACGGCATCATGTTTCGAAACAACCAGTTTTCATTTCGTTTCATTTCATTTCGTCCATTCGACCTTTTCATATGCATTTCAAACAGCTGAACGAAGCAATTGTTTCTGTATCAAAAATTTGTCGATTGAATTAACGAGATGAAGACAGTAATCTGCTCGATGATACTTGATCTGTGCGAGCAGTATCAAAAAGAAATACTTTCTGATCAGTTAAAATCGACATTGATTGCTATCTAAGCACGGTTCATTTTGTAACTTTTCTCATATTTGCACTTCCACTATTCGTTCGTATATTTTTGTGAGATGTTTGAAGATTTGAACTTCGAANGTTTTAGGTGGATAAAGTAGCGATAAATGGCCGAAAAGAAAGTAACGAGTGAAAAAAAGGAATATGAATTCAAATGGGATGGAAAAGAGATTAAGCACAGGTCGGTCTAAATTCATTCTTCAGTCAGATTACATCTCGAAAGATACGATCGTTTAACGATCCGCATATCTGTGAACCTTCGTAAAAGTTTCAAAAGTGAAAAGTTATGTGATATGTCAAATGCGTTCAAATAAAAGAGAACCTATTAATGGTGTACATGTAAAACTTTATTCACGGATAATTTTGATGTAATTCAGAATTATTTCGCAATCTAATCTCCTTCCATAATGTTGAATGTTCTATTTCAAGGTCATTATTCTTTTTCAAAATGGCCCATTTATGAGTTGCGTTTAAAGTTATTCAGTTTTGACGCACGACTGAAATATTTTTAATGTGCCTCTCAGAGCTCAGCATAAATACTGTTTTCAACGAATTTTTCAGATGGGAAGGTTTCGTGAAGTTTGGTAATGCATCGGCAACCGAAATGACTGGCAAGAATTTCGATAAGTGGCTGAAAGATGCAGGTGTTATTGATTCGAAAGCAATAACTACAACGATGACTGGTATTGCCTTCTCTAAAATCACCGGGTATGTTCGTTCTAGTGTTCCAGATTTGGACCACTCTTCCGCATAGGAAGTCCTGCGGAGTACGATTC